AGGACGTGCGGGACGGGCAGCGCATCCTGGAGAAGAAAGGCAGCGCCGCCGTGAGCGACCCCGGGGGGGCTTTGGGGACCCCCTAAAACTTTCGGGGACCCCCCCAGAGATTTGGGGGGACCCCCAAACACCCCCCAAAACCCCCCAAAACCTCCCCCCAAAACAGCTGAAGGACCTGAGGAGGCAGCTGCAGCTGGAGCGGCGCCGGGGGGAGCGGCTGCAGGAGAGGCTGCAGGAGCTGCTGGTGCCCAGCAGGACCCGCTCGGGTCAGGGGGGGATCCCCAAAATTTGGGGGGTCCTGGGGGGATTTTGGGGGTCCTGGGGGGATTTTGCAGGATTTTAAGGGGTTTTTGGGGTTACCTTTGGGGTTTCCTGAGGTGATTTGGGGTCACCTTTGGGGTTTTTTCTCACCTGAGGCTGACGTTGAGGGGATTTTTAACTCACCTGAGATGATTTGGGGTTACCTGTGTGTCTGAGTCTCACCTGAGGCTGACATTGAGGGGATTTTTAACTCACCTGAGATGATTTGGGGTTACCTGTGTGTCTCAGTCTCACCTGAGGCTGACATTGAGGGGATTTTTAACTCACCTGAGATGATTTGGGGTTACCTGGCAGGTTTTGTCTCACCTGAGGCTGACGTTGAGGGGATTTTGGGTTCCCTTTGGAGGATTTGGGGTCACCTGAGATGATTTTTGGCTCACCTGAGATGATTTTGGGTTCCCTTTGGGGGATTTGGGGTCACCTGAGATGATTTTTGGCTCACCTGAGGTGATTTTGGGATCTCTTTGGGGGACTTGGGGTTCCCTGAGATGATTTGGGGTTACCTGGGAGGTTTTGTCTCACCTGAGGCTGACGTTGAGGGGATTTTGGGTTCCCTTTGGAGGATTTGGGGTCACCTGAGACGATTTTTGGCTCACCTGAGGTGATTTTGGGATCTCTTTGGGGGACTTGGGGTTCCCTGAGATGATTTGGGGTTACCTGGGAGGTTTTGTCTCACCTGAGGCTGACGTTGAGGGGATTTTGGGTTCCCTTTGGAGGATTTGGGGTCACCTGAGACGATTTTTGGCTCACCTGAGGTGATTTTGGGATCTCTTTGGGGGACTTGGGGTTCCCTGAGATGATTTGGGGTTACCTGGGAGGTTTTGTCTCACCTGAGGCTGACGTTGAGGGGATTTTGGGTTCCCTTTGGAGGATTTGGGGTCACCTGAGACGATTTTTGGCTCACCTGAGGTGATTTTGGGATCTCTTTGGGGGACTTGGGGTTCCCTGAGATGATTTGGGGTTACCTGGGAGGTTTTGTCTCACCTGAGGCTGACGTTGAGGGGATTTTGGGTTCCCTTTGGAGGATTTGGGGTCACCTGAGACGATTTTTGGCTCACCTGAGGTGATTTTGGGATCTCTTTGGGGGACTTGGGGTTCCCTGAGATGATTTGGGGTTACCTGGGAGGTTTTGTCTCACCTGAGGCTGACGTTGAGGGGATTTTGGGTTCCCTTTGGAGGATTTGGGGTCACCTGAGATGATTTTTGGCTCACCTGAGGTGATTTTGGGTTCTCTTTGGGGGATTTGGGGTTCCCTGAGATGATTTGGGGTTACCTGGCAGGATTTTTCTCACCTGGGGCTGACATTGAGGGGATTTGGGGCTCCCTTTGGGGGATTTAGGGTTCCCTGAGGTGATTTTTGGTTACCTGAGATGATTTGGGGTTACCTGGCAGGTTTTGTCTCACCTGAGGCTGACATTGAGGGGATTTTTGGCTCACCTGAGATGATTTGGGGTTACCTGTGGGTCTGAGTCTCACCTGAGGCTGACGTTGAGGGGATTTTTAACTCACCTGAGATGATTTGGGGTTACCTGTGGGTCTCAGTCTCACCTGAGGCTGACGTTGAGGGGATTTTTAACTCACCTGAGATGATTTGGGGTTACCTGTGGGTCTCAGTCTCACCTGAGGCTGACGTTGAGGACGTCGCGGGCTCTCCGGGGCGTGCCCTGGGCCTTGGCGGCCACGAAGAGCGCGGCGGTGGCCACCAGGTACCGGTCGTGAGGAGCCGCCGGCGCCGCCGCCGCGAAGGCGTGGAAAGAACTGCAGGCGGTGGCCAGGGCAGCCGAGCCCAAACCCAGCTTCACACCTGGGGACACACGGGGACACACCTGGGACACACCTGGGACAGCTGGGGACACACCTGGGACACCTGGGGACACACCTGTCACACCTGGGACAGCTGGGGACACACCTGTCACACCTGGGACAGCTGGGGACACACCTGTCACAGCTGGGGACACACCTGGGACACACCTGGGACAGCTGGGGACACACGGGGACACACGGGGACACATCTGTCACACCTGGGGACACACCTGGGACACAACTGGGACACATCTGTCACACCTGGGACACACCTGGGACACCTGGTCACACCTGGGGACACCTGGGACACACCTGGACACAACTGGGGGCTGTCACTGCTCCGAGCCCACCCCTGCTGTGCCCCCCCATGACGTCACGCTGACATCACGGAGCGCAGTTCCGGAACAACCCCCGCAGTGACGTCACTATGACGTCATCTCTCACCT